TAAGATTTTATCGAATGTTATCACGCAGTTGTATTGATCAAAATTACTTATCCCATCAATCGATGATAATTATTTTTAATCCAAGGGAATATTTACGATGCATCAAATTTTTTATTTTCAATTTCTATAAGGATATTAAAAATGATTTCGAAAATGATGATCTGAGTGCATATTTTGTGTACGACATTCGTCCATCTATATTCGTTCAGATAATCTAACGCGTTAGAAGAAACTTACTTGTACGTGCGACTTTACCGGCAAGAATTTCCTTTGGATATATATTGTTAATACTGATTTGTATTTAATAAATAACGTGTAATAATGGCTTTAAGAATGTCAAAGGGTGAAATACCAGAAAATGCTATTGTTTTAAGTAAAAGCGAGATTATTAAATACCAATGGCAACAAATTCGAAATTGGAAACCACAAAAAGATGTGTAACTAACCTCAATTAATTACGCTATAGATTTTTCTATAAATGTTGACATAGTATTACATTGTCTTTATTATATGTAAGATTTATTATATTTGACTCTATCTATTCTAGAATAGAGCTTTTCAAATGCCAATAATCGTATTTTAATTATTCTTTCTTATATGTATATATATGTGTATGTATATATATATATATATATATATATATATGTAAATATGTGTATATATATATACGTACACATATATACATACATGCATAAATATTACATAAATTATATTTCAATTTAATTTTAATATAACTAATTAATTTGAAATTTGTTTTTATCAAAGTTGGCCATTTTCATATGGACTAGGTTTTCTTGGAGGTGTCGCAGCATTATCAGGTATATATATTAACATGAGGATTAGAAAATCATTGAAATTGCGTAATTTTGGTACTGCTGCTTCTGTTATCACTACGTCATTATGTCCAGGGTCACTTGTAATTGTTGCTCAGCTACAGGTAAAACATTTTGGATCTTACAAATCTTTGTTTGGTCGCTTAATATTAATTTGATTAATTACTTATATAAAATATATTTAGATGATTACAGAAAAAACTTTTTTCCCATTACCAACCTGTCCATTATGCGTTGAAATGAGATCAATAGTCGTTCAGAGTTGTGGTGCCGTTATATATCCTATGGTTTTATCACCGATAGTAAACTTTCTGGTAAGTTTTAATTTCTATAATTTACAATTAGTTATTTATGCGAATACTTTCATATAATTTTTCTAATAATTATGTTATAGATCGCTAAACGTGATGGAAGATTTAGAATACCATATTATACAAACTGGAGAGAAGTAATATACTTTTGTATTAACTTATTTAAACCCATTGCCCCATCATTACTAACCATAGCTGCTCTAAATGCTGCAGCTGCTTCTATCATTGTATATAAACAATTTCAGTGTATATCTTATATACAGAATACATTATCTGTAGAAAATGAAAATGACGATTTTGAATAAGATTTCTAAAAATTCATTATTGTTAGTCTTATAAATGATTGAATAAATTATATTAAATCATGTAATCGTCAGATTATGCTGAAGTATTTGCAGTTCGCCCGTGTTTATATCTATGAACGTCATGTCGTACATGCATGAAGTATGGGATATACTATTAAAACTATAAAACAAACGAAATGTGTGACAATATAAAATGTATTTATTCCTTCATCCCCTTTGCATTATAAGTTGATATTAATATATTTAATTATTTTTAGTTGTCTGCCAAAGTTGCTCGTTCTAATGGACTTACTGTGCTAGTGTGCACTATGCATTGCTGTTGTCTTTATTTTGTAGGCGGTATATAAACCAATTTTAACAACAGGCTTAGGCACAGTACATTTTGTAATATTATGTCTTTCAAATTATTAAGATTCGCTGTCTTGTACAGTAACTATATGCCATTTTTACTTAAAAAATTTTGAATGTAATTATTAAAATCCTAAATCTTATCCATGCAACACACGTAGGTTTATACAGAAAAATTCTGGCATCATTTATGCATAACAAACAGTGTTGAAATTGAATAGGAATATCACCATTAATTATTTTTACCAATATAATAGTCGTCGAAGCTAATGCAAGTGCATAAGACATATCGTTTTAAAGATAATCGAATTATGTTTGAACACGTATTGTCATAATGAGATTTGAAAAATATTTAATGAAATAGAATAAGTTGCATGAAATCTTTCTGATTTATAAGCAGCATCATTTTGTTATGCATGTATAAATATAATTAATAAGATGAAAAGCAACTATTAAAAAAGTAGTTCAATCTATATGATAAACATAATTCGCATAAAGAATTATGTAAATATTTTTATCTATTAGGATTTGGGACTTTAACATATTTAAAAACCTTCATAGATTTCAAGAACTACGCTCTACGTAGAAGAGAAACAAGAAAAAAGAGAAGAAAGAAAAAAGAGAAAAAAAAAAGAAAAAAAAAAGAAAAGAAAATAATTACCATTGGAAATGCATCAGATATTTATCTTCTTTGCTATTCTCCATTGACATTTATGAACTAAAAGATACTATCAATGATACGATATGTACACCGTACGTACAGGTAGCGTTACTATCATTGACTTAATTAGGATTCCACAGCCTAATTCAGTTTATATATATATATATATATTTTTTTTTTTTTAATTTGATTTGCCGATAAATCTACGATTAAGTATGATACTGGCAGTTGGTTGGACATCTTGTCGAGGCTTTTGAGTGGTATGGAGATCTCAAAAACTAGCAAGCTACCTTGGTAATAATAATGTAATGTAATAATGTAAGTAATAACATCAAATGTTAAGTTAAAACATTGATTAACAAAAGTGTAACAACACGATTTCTTTAGTCTTAGCAAGCTTTGCTTATGTAAATGACACAACAATGAATAAATTGGCAGTGAATGAAACCAGCCACGGAGTAACTGGAGGAATCTAAGTAAAGAGAGGACATTAACACGTGGAAGAATAGGACGCCAATTATTTCTTGCAAATTTCTGCCAGACGCACTTTTATACGATAATAGTCTAAAATGCATTACTAGTTCGTAGTACATTAATAGCTGCATTTGGCATATAAACTATCTAAATCATAATACAGTTTAAACTTTTCTTTCAAAATAGAAATAATATATATATATATATATATATATATATATATATATATATATATATGCATTGAAGTACTATTTGTTTCTCTTTCTTTCTATTTTTTTTTTCTTTTGTATTATAGGTAGCCATATAATGCAACTATATAATGTACAAGAATTCATGAATTTACGATCACAATTCGCAGAATAATCAAAATCACAATGAGATCGTCATTTTTTTTTTGTTAGTACCTTAAAGCTATATTACAACTAGAAATTAACATTTTCTTTTTCTCTATAGTCATAGTGCAGTCCATTGCTTATTTACAGTAGAGGTCCCATTCTGCAAATATTTTATATTACACATTTAGAATACCTCCGTGTACTCTAGAGGTATTGTTTTTAAAATTTTCTCTCTGTTAAGTTGTAAGCTGAACTTGTATAATATTGAGCAAGATAACAATAATCTTGATAAAGTTATCTTTGAACCTCTTAAAGTGGTATATTTTAAGAGACTAATTGAGATGTATCTTATAAGCCTAAGCTGTACGTTAGAAAGTACAGTATTTATGTACCCCATATTTATCGATACTTTTCATCAATAGCAAAACTTCTTTGCTGCAATAAAACGCTGGACTATATTACAACTACGATTTTTTTAAAATAAACTTCGATGTAGCAATGGTATAAACTATGTTAGACAATTTACAGATTATATTTACATTAGCTAAATACATTTTGAGGGATTTATATTTTATGTCCAACAAAATGATACAACGTCAATGAACGATCTAATACAATCTAATTAATATAACAGACATATTTATTTATACCATTAGTACAAAGAAATTCTATTTAGCCGTTTTAACATTGTCATACTTAACGTAAAAATTACTGTCACACTGTTAGAAACAAATTGAACAGTGGAAAGAAATTCAAATTAAATTGTTTACTTATTTTTATGAATTTTTAAAATATTAAAAAAAAAAAAAAAAAATGAAAAAGAAAAAAAAAGGAAAACAACATTAGTATTAGTAATTTATACCGACAAAGATAGAGTAATTTTTTTTTTCCATAACAATTACAATTGCTCATAAAAATATTTAACAGCATTATGAAACATATTGTAATCTAATTATATACTCCAATTAACAAAACAGAAATTCAAAGGATACAAAAAGCATCTTTTCACACACCTTTTGTTTATATATATATATATATATATATATATATATATATATATATATATGTATATATATACATATAATATTAATATTCTATATTTCTTGCAATATATGTAATAATACAAAGACATATATCTTTGATCAAATTTGTACAGTTTTAAAGAGATGTATATCTTTGCTGTGCTATGTAATTACTTATATCACCCATACATTGCAGATAAAAATATCAATGTAGATCCGTTAGTATGATGGCAGAGTTAATCATGTGTAAAGAGCATAAACGCATATTAAGTGCTAAAATTCGTTTAATAATTAAATACTATTTCATTAGCTCTGGCATATCATCTCGCTTGATATTACTTTAGAGAGAGAGAGAGAGAGAGAGAGAAAAAGAAATAGCTCTAACTTCTCATACTTGTTAAATACATTTCAAAGACATCATTTTTAATGATTAATTTCATTATCCAATTGATATTTTAGTTCAGTTCAATATTAAATAAATAATGAACTTATTTATAGTTAATATAGGAATTATATTTTAAGTAAAAATATTGCCATCATACTAGTAGGTTCTGTCATCCTCAGGGAGGACTGTATGGTATCATAAAGGGGAGACTGTGTATGCTAAAACATACAAAATACAATAGGCACCACTTCAAACAGTGAAAGATTGCAAGTAACAGCCGCCTCCAATGTCATTTTCGCTTGCGCACCCCACGATCCATATTTTCTTGTGTTGTATATCGGTGCGTACGAGGATGTGAATGTGGAGGAGGAAAGGAAGGTCCTGCACGATCCCACCAAAAAGATGGATAATCTTGAACAGGTACCACAACGGGAGAAACAGGAGGCATAGGAAGTGGATGTATGAACGATGGATGATTAGGTTGTACCATCACTAATGTATGCTGCTGACTGGCCACAAACGGATTGTATTGATTGCTATTATTGTATTGAAAATGGGATGTTGTTTCTGTATTGTTATAACGAACTGCGACAGAAGTTTGAGAAGGTAGGGGCCCTTGTGGAGGACCCCAGGCCAGCTGCTAGCACCTTCGGCAGTGCCAATGTGTCATATAATCTTGATAGCTTACGGTGACCTTCTCACTCTGGTAACGAGTTAACTTCACACTACGTCTAATGTCTGGAGTTACCAATCCTTTATAACCACCTTTATGCAGCAGGGAGTCTATTGTCTGTATCTGGTCCCATCCTAAACATGTCAAGTTCTAACTTTGCAGAATACTCGCGAATTTCGAAATTGCTGTAAATATCAGCATATAGATTAATTAAATTGTTTCTAATTAATAAAACTCGTAGAGAATTTTGGATTTCCTGGAAGTAGCAGTAATTTACTTATTACGACGTTGCTTTGATGCGAAGAAATGAACGAATATAGATAATATATATATATATATACATGAAGCAAAATTTTGAAATTCTATTTTCAACTTTGCCAACCACTAAACAAAACCAACTCTGTGACGGTTTATTATATGCCCTTGCATGTGTAAATTTTCAATTATATTTTTTCAGTCATAAAACTGTATGCAATATGAATTGACAAAAATATGTTTACTACTTTGAAACTAATTACAGAGGAATAAAAAAAAAAACCATAATGAATGTATGATCAACGATAACGTAACAATTCCCTGGCTATAAATTAATTTATTATTTAAAAAAAAAAAATGAATACTGACCTTGTTCCGGTGCTACATCAGGCAAGTAAGTAGCCGTCCGCTTATTACCCTTTTCATTATGAAATTCTATACGAATTCCATGAACTCCAACTTCCCAATCTAAATAGTCCACCCCGTCTTCAAAGTTTCTAAGGATAGATACGCTTACATGCAAGCGTGGCAATTCCTCTCTTGTTATCGGATTGAATCGAGAATCTTTAAATGCGCTTTTAGAAAGGAGAAACAAAAATATATTCTAACTTTAAATATGATAATAATTTCAATCTCATTTATATTCTGTCATACCTAGTAGTAGCGTATTCTCTTAATCCGGCATGTAAATGCATAGCATTAAATGTACCGATGCAGCCTCTTAATCTCATGTCTTTTCCAATAGACCAAGTTACGAATAATGGGCTGAAAAATAGTTTATCTATAAATTAAAATACACATACGATAGAATTTTTTTTTAATGCCGATGCCAAACAAATTAATCTAACTTAAATAAAAGGATATATATATATGTGTGTGTGTGTGTGTGTTAAAAAAAAAAATAAAATAAGCCATAAGAATGGAAATTTTAATTAATACATATGTAAATGTTCTTATTAAAAAAAAAAAAAAAAAAAAAAAGAGATTCGTCGTTTGACTCGTTCTTAATATTAAAACTATAACTATTTTTTTTCTCCATTCTATATTAATTAAAGTATAACGAGAAAAATAAGTCAAGGTAAATGATCAAAGAAGCGGTAATAGTGCTACCGCGTTGATGCGAAGAATCGACGACCGAGTCAAAACAAAAAAGAAAGAAAGAAAGAAAAAAAGGGGGGGGGGAAAAAAAAGAAGAAATAAAAATTATCATCATCCCTTGCATGTCAATTGGAACATCCAATTTTATGGTATCGAATTGCAAAGAAAGAAAATAAAACGATGCCCGTTTGATATGATTTTAAAAGCTAACGAATAAAATCTAATCGAGGTTAGTTCGATCGAAGGACGTTTTCAAGGGCTTGTGTTGTGAAGGACTCATTGAGTGACATTGTTGACGGACTTTAAAAATAAAGATCTCGCGTTAACAAAGAGATTGAGAGGATAAAAGAAAAAGAGAAGTCGAATAGAAAGAGAAAGAGAAAGAGCGCGCGCGAGCGCGAACGAGTGAGACAGCAGAGAGAGAGAGAGAGAGAGAGAGAGAGAGAGAAAGACGACAAAAAAATGGATAGAAAAAGAAATAAAAGGTTATAATGCGAGGGCTTAAAGAAAAAGAAAGAAAGAGAAAGAGAGAGAGAGAGAGAGAGAGAGGAAAAAAGATAAATGAGAAGAAGAACGAGCGAGCGAGAACGAGAGAGAAAAAGAGAGAGAGAGAGAGGGAAAAAGAGAGAGAAGGAAGTAAGATAAAACAGAATTGAGAAAGGCGCGTGGAGATGGTATCGGTGGGGAACAAAGAGGGCCAAGTTACTCACAATGCATCGTTGCTGAAGTTGGGCGTTTTTGGAGGGTCAAGTTGATGTAGTTGGCAGTAAAGTACGTCGAAGCAAAAGAAACCCATTTCCGGTTGGACTATCGTGGAATAGCGTATCTGGGTGCCGTTTTGCAATACGGCCGAGCCATTGCACGGAATGCTGGTCGAGTTATTCAGCTTTTGCTTCTTCGTTCCACAACAGCCAGCAGCCATCTTTCCTGGCTCGACTCTCGCGACTGCTCACTGCACTATAGTAGTAAGAAGAGAGAGAAGGAGAAAGGAGAGAGAGAGAGAGAGACTGACAAAGACAAAAAGGTATAGAAAGAGAGAGAAAGAGAGAGAGAGAGAGAGAGAGACAGAGACAGACAGACACGGCCGGTCTACGACCTGTACACACGCACGTCTCTTCGTCTCTACTGCTGCTACTGCTCTTCGTCCTTTAGTCGTCGTCGCGTGCGAAATTACGCCCGCGCTCCGCTAGATGTCTCACCGAACTAAAAAACAGCTGTTTCATTGTCCTCCCGCCATTACGTTCGCGCCATTTGTAAGGAGTAAACGTCGTCTGCAACGGTACCTTAGTTATCTTTAGTAACAGTCGAAAGGATAATCGAGTAGCATTATATCGGATCTCTAATGATTGGCTCATTACTCCTATTATTCTATCACCAATTCCATATCTAGGTGGGAACGATCTCGAAGGTCATTTCTCGTTAATTATTTTACGCTGACTCATTTATTTTCCAATTGTATCTTTGCTATCTTGTTATTTCATTATTTATCGTATTTTAATACGAGATTGAAAATAATTCAAGATTTTAATACGCATCATCTCTCGTCTTTGTACTTGTCTCGTTCTACGTGTAATTATTTAATTGAAATTAAAAGAAAAAAAAAAATAAATAAATAAATAAAAGAAGAAAAAAATAGGAAGGAACTAACGATATATAAATGAAAATATCGTTTGACCAGAATTTACAATTGATTCTTAACAAATACATAATCATCGTCGTTTATTTATCTAACTTATGACGTTTACGACGGGAAAAATAATAAACTCTATGACTAACTCTATAACTTTTAAAAACTAATCGTTTTTATTCTTTCCTATCGTCATTGTATACATATAACGTAAACACACATTGTAAACATATACATTAGTAGAATGGTTTCGAAAGTGACAACGAATTCGTCCTCCGTTAGTCTTACGTTAATTCTACGGTGAAAGACGAAAGATCTATTAATATTATATCTCGATGAATCATAAGTAAGAGTTGTCTTAAAATAATCTATAATAAATATTTTATATAGATATATATCTTGATTTAAGATTGAAAACGATTTTAAATGGGATTATCGTCTAATGTCTTGCGAAACATTTTAAAATACAAATAACTAATAATATTGGAATAATAGAAATTTTAATAAGGTACAGGGTCCGTACGATCGAGCGTCCATACCTGTCTACGACTTGGTACGAAGTCGAACGGAGATAGCCGAGGCATGACGAAGGATTCAATTCAGCAACGTGCACCGCCGCCAACTTGTATGCACCGTGCTCTCGCACCCATCTCGAACATACATACGTAACTACATACGTACAATATTTTATATACGTATTTACTTCTTCTTCTTCTTCTTCTTCTTCTTCTTCTTCTTCTTCGTCTTCTTCGTCGTCGTCGTCGTCGTCGTCGTCGTCGTCGCTTACCTGTCAGCGCATATTTAAAGATTTCGCGATCGTGACACTCGACATCTTTAAATCTCGATCTAAGTGTAGATCGTTACGTGACTTATATATCAGTTCAATACGGTTTTGTTTCTATCAAAACGAAATAGTCAATTTTTCACGATAACATTGAAAAGTGAAAATCGTGATGTTGTGTTGTTGCCGCGTTCATTTAAGTTACATTAGTCCATAGTATTCGCGAACAATTCGAGTGTAACGACGAACGTCGCGGGTCGGAACTCGATCGAAAACTCGACATATGTATGTATGTGTATATATATATATATATATAAAACTAAGTAAGTAACGTATATAACGTATAGTACGTATGTATGTATATAAAAAAAGTATGTACAAAAGGATGCAAAATTATCTTCTTGTAAATCGAAACGCGTGCAACTTTCGTCGTGACGCTTGTTGAATATTGTATGTAGAAAAAGTTGAAGGGAGAAAGGTGAAAGGATCTTTTTTTTTCTTTTTCTTCTTTTTTTTTTTCTTTTCTTTTTCCTCTTTCTCTCTCTTTCTCTCTCTCTCGAAGAAGAAGAAGAAGACGAAGAAGAAAAAATAACATCGTATCTTCATTTAAAAGACATCTCGGAGAACTCCTCGAAATATGTAAGTAAATAAATAAATAAATAATTTAAGTATTTTTCTATATCAAAATTAATGCGAATTCGACATCTTTTATTCTCTCTCTCTCTCTCTCTCTCTCTCTCTATCTTTTTTCTTTCTCTCTATTTTTATCAAACGATGAATCGTTCGACGAATAGGTTAACTTAGTTCGTTCGTTAGTATATAATTAGCATACATATATATGCATATATAAATTTGTTATAGATAACGAATTAATCGAATTAGTTTTCTCAGAAGAATCCATTTTGGGATCCATTTTGAATTCATTTTGAATCAGTAAGTCGACCAATCAAATTCGCCGTAAGAAAATGATTTTACTTTTTCTGTTCGCCCTCTACGGACGCAAACGCACACGTATATATATATATATATATATATACAAGTCATATGAAAACGGCGCGAATTCAAATCAAGAAAAAGGAGGTAAGCGTTACGAATTTGTTTGTAGTAGTAAAAAGAAAGTCTATTCGTAGATATAAAAGAAAGACGTTAGAGTTACATCGTTACCACCTGTTCCTTCTTGGGAATATGTTATAATGGCTTGCATGAGAAGAGCGATGAGAGTTGGAGGGGGTGGGTTGGGAGTGGAGAAGCTAAGGGGATTTATCGTGACGAGCAGAGCGTATAGAATAAACGCGGTTTTAACTCGCACGTTCCAATTTATCTCGAGGTTTTATCGTTACGTCTGTAATTTCATAGCTGATGGTAAACCCGCGAAACTACATACATAGATTGCACATATATATATATATATATATATATATATATATATATATATATATGTATATAGATAACTCCGATTGGATTATATAGCACGCCATTTTGGCAAGAATCGTAAGCGGTATTTTTGAATATATATTTGATATATCACAACTCTTGCATCTCTCTCTCTCTCTTCATTTTTGTTTCAATCCTTCATCCACCCTATCTTACAAGCACCATCGAAAATATCGATTTCCCGAGAATCTTATTGATTCTCATGCGTTAACGTACTTTGCGATATTTTATGTATCTTATGCGTTTAGTTATACATATCATGTGTATGTGTTTGCGCGTGATATTTTCTCTACGTTTCTCCGTCTATATTATTGTGTGCGAGTGTTTATTATATTTTCTCTATATATGTTTATATATATATATATATATATATATATATATATGAATGTGTGTGTATGTATGTATAATATGTATGTACGTATATTTACATACATGCACGCGCTTACATATGAATATATACATACATTTGAACGCTAATGGTTAATCTAACTTGGAAGGTAAA